ATGCGTCTCCGGCTGTCGAATCGCATAAAACGCCAACAGAGATCAATACAGAGAGAGAGAGAGAGAGAGAGAGAGCTCACTCGACTCTGCGAGTGCTTATACGACAATAAAATTGCATCAGTAAAATATCAAATGTGCGAGAGAAATATGTAGACCATATCGAGAGCTACCAATCATAATTTTATTGCGTGTTCTGAATTTAAAGCGAATTTTTTCACCACAAGGAACTTGAGCGAAAACCAATGGCTTATTGCTTGTTACACTTTTCGGATATTCAACATTGATTTTTAAAAAGTCACTTTTCGGCTTACTTCAATATAGAACAGAACTTTGCTTTGGAGAATATCATAAAAAATATTTTATCTTTTTACGTTGATCGCACTGAAAAAAAAAAAATATAGTTGAAATAACCATAATTTCACTAAAATTTGTAGTAAAAAGTTTCATTGTTTCTCGGAACCATGCGAATAAGGTTATGTAACTAGTATTATAGTAGAATTTACTATAAAAATGAGTATTCCGACTATAATTTTTTTACCATGCAATTATAGTTCATTTTGTCATCGATTTTTTTTTTTCAGTGCGTACTTTCTATACATCACTAGCGATCATACTTACGATTTTAATATCGGCGCGATCTATCGACACGGTAATCGCCCCCGTGTTGACGTACAGCCACGTGGTCAGAACGCCTGTATCATTCGAGGAAGATAAATCAAAATTTGTCAATACACTGCTGGAAAATTGGCGAGAGATTTACTTACAGCTCAGTAACAATATCGACGGCATTGCGACGGACTATGAGATCATTGACACGAGAATTCTGCAACAGAAAGGTTGATTGTTAACAATCTCGTTGGACGCGAGTGACGTTAAGATTCGTTGTGAGATGCAATTTTCGAATGAAGCGCGTCGCAGGAAAATCTGAAGGACAACATCGAATTGTTCGTGTCTCCGCGCGCAAGATAAGAGTCTCGCGAAAGAATGATATTTATCAACATCCGAGATGGAAGTGGGACAGCCCGTACTTCATCCCGCATCTCGGTGAATTAAGTATTAAAACACGAGCACGAGAAAAGTGTAACGCAGAGAAAGGAAGGATAGAAAGCGTCATGCATCTATCATAATCTCCCGGATCGTTTCCGTGCCTGTTTTCTCATTTTTAAATCGCGGTAATAGCGAAATCCACGAAGGGAGGATTTCTCTTTTTACGAGCATTCGCACGTAGCGCATCTCGGACATCTTTCGCGCGACACGCGCTTTCATGTAAAATATGTGTGTATAATGCGGATTGATAAACACGAGATGTCGAGTGATTTCGGACCGCGTCAAAGCTGCCTGAACTCTAACCTTTTACCGCTTATCGCGACAGCTCGGAGTGTAAAAAGTACGAAAACATAAAACATTACACACTCGCGGTTGTCGGAGTGTTGCGAAATCATTAGGAGGCGTTAATATTTATGAAGTGAGCATAGTGAATCGTTAGCCGTTCTATTATTACCGCAGGTGTTTGACGTAAGCCGAAGCTGCTGGATTATGAAAATCGCTGCGCAAATTCGGTCGCAATTATGATGCCGCTACGATGCCGTTAAATTTTTCGCAAGCGCGCGTAACGAGGGATGTAATAGGCGAATAGCCAAAGAGAATGACGTGGATTGCGTGGAGAGCTGCGTCATCGCAATGAACACCCTCGCAACTAGTGTTTCGTAAATGTATAAAAAAGAAAGAAACAGACACTACGCGTGTTATGTAAAGTAGTAAAAGCTAGACAGAAAATTTGCGATGCAAAAGCACGCCACTTTCTCTTCATTCATTAGGCAAGTCCGGGGGTGTGCAAATTGTTGACTTTGCATAGATATCATTTTTTTACCGCCGCGCGGAAAAGTTTCCGCGCGGCAGCGGCTAAAAGCGCGCGATATTTAGCGAGATGTTTTTTCGCGCGGGGCAGGCGTCACGTTTTTCCACTCAATCCGCGATCGAAATTTCATTTAATCGATAGCCGCGTGTTAATAACGAGACTCTAGAAATTAGCTCGCGCGGCACCGCCAATTCAATTGGCTGGCATGAAGCCATCGTCGCTCCATCGATTCCGAGGTAATTATAAGCGACGTACGATACGATCGTGTCCGGTTCTGAAAATTGCACGAAAAGGATATATTTCTTTTATCTCGCGTAATCACCGCGCGGATATTCTGCGCGCGCAGGACCAATTATCGCCCAGCAGGCTGCTTTATTTGCACGCACAATTGTGAATATCAACGACACATTCGTGCAATTGCGAATTTATTTTAATGCATTTATCTGACTTTTTTTTTTTGCAATTATCACGTGATATTTATTTCATCCTTCAATGATTATCCCGCGCAATAAAAATTATCGACCTCAACAATAAAAATATTTCGCGGAATTATATGTTTACACGTTGCCAACTGTAGCGTGCTTCGTAATGAAAAGATATTCTAAAAACAACATTCCATCTATTCCTGTTTGTAGTGAATAATGCACTTCCGTTGTTTTCTCTCATCGGGATGAAATTTTCCAGGTTTCCGCGTTTCGTATTTAAAATTGTGCGCTTCATATTTCTTCCTTTTTTTTTATTTATCCGGAAAATGGACGTGCCACAGGTTTGGCACAAAAACAATTGGGCGATGATTGCGCCTGCTCACGAGAACGGCGTTGTTGGTGCTGCCACCGTGACGGTCAGAAGCAGCCGCAAGTACGAGAAATCGATACAGCCCGGTTGCATTTAAATTTCAAGCCGGCTTCCGGATGAATTAATTATAAATGTCGCTGCCCGAGCCTCCCAAAGGAGTTGATGCATTCCACGGCTGGCATGATTAATAGCATTACATTTATGCATTATAAACTGGCGAACATGTTCGAGCGTGTCCGTCATTTTTCGTTGTCAATTGTTTCTGAAATTTAATTGAGCACGAATAGCGAGGAAAATATATTATTATTGATTATTTTGCATTATCAAAATAAAAAGTGACGCGGGAGAAGACTTTTCGATTTAAAACGAGAGAGGTTATACGTTCAGTTTTTGACGATATGTACAATAAGTGACAGTAATCGTCGTCGCGGCTTGGCAAATTATGTGAAAAGCACATTTCTGATACGTGCATTGACGTAAAATACAATTAACGTTGCGCAGTAATACTCGTTTTGTCCGGTTAAATATAATTTATAGCGAGTCGGAATTATTCACGAATTTTTCCACTTTTCCGCAGTAATCCGATTAAAAGTTGATTGAAATACGAGGGAATTCGCGAGGCTGTTGTTTTTGATTTTTATGACCGCATATATTCTCCTCGGCCGCTGCGGAATACGGATTCAGTAAATTCTAAACAATACAGTAAGATTTATAAGTAATTCAGATGCCCATTTAAATTGCTAACTGGACTTGCGATTTAAATTATCGTTACTGCAAGACGTGCTTTCTTACATAAATCTTTGCGCTAAATTAAGTTCTGTGGTCGGAAGACAAATATCGTTACAGAATTATTAATATTTTATTTCGAATAACTTTTGAAAGAAATAAAATGAATATTTTATTTTTAATACGTTTTCTAATTTATTTAATTGCAATAGATAATTAGTTCCGTATCAAACATGTGGGATGCAATTTATTTAATGAAATGAATGAAAATGATGTATAAACGGTGGCAAAATTCTTCTCACATTCTCCGCTTGCTTCCTCGTTCTCGAAGTAGGTATTCATAACAGTAGTTTTCATTTACACGCTAATCTTTCCTACCTAGATTCAGCGACCTTGACGTAGCGTTAAAATTGATTTCCAAACGTCAGGAATGCACTTTCTATGATCTTTCGCAATCCGAAGGAGTGCGTACGCGTGACTCTTTCCAGCAGAGCCGTTCTAACGTGACAACGATGCGAACGAGCCTACTCCGGCTTTTTTTTATCGCCGTCGAATTTTTTTCTCTCATGTTGTTTCTCGCAATCTCGCCGTCCCGGCAAGCGCTCCGCTTCTGTGAGCCAATAAATGTGCTCTCGGAACGCACTAACTAGGGAATGCCATGCTCGGCAGCTCAAACGGTGCAAGTGCATTATATCGACAAAAAGCTAGAGCGCGCAGGAGCGGCCTTTTAGCATTAATGGATTGAAATTTGCTTTATGCGCGTCGACAAAGGAAGCGCGACGCCTGTGATATTTATTCGCCAATAAGCCGCCGGAGTATCGTTTCGCAAAGTAAAACCAAATCGCGTTTAATGCTGTCCAGCGAAAAAAAAAAGAGACCGCAAAGTGTGTTAACTTGGAACATACGCGCATACACACACGCGGTCTGAAAGACTTACACGGTAAATGATGAAGTTAAGACCAAGATTTCCTTCTTCATTCTTCCTCAAATTACTGCTACGGAAGAAAAGTATTAAAGAAACTCAACTTTATTTCTACCATTTCTCGACCATTTCTCAAGCTGCATTCTAAATTATTAAACTTTATGATATTTAACTTGATACATCTTATTAGCGTAAAGTCAGTCTGATAAAAGACTAAAATTTTGAATTAAAAAAAAAGAACTCGAAACTTAAAAACAATTTTTCACTTTCAACATCTCAAATATATATTTATATCTAGAAACGGCAAAGTTCGAAATTGATCCGACAACGCGCGTGACGCGATTAGCTGAGATTATTCTAAATTTGTATGCAACGCGATGAAATATCGTTGCGTGCGAAAAGATATTCGCACGTCATTAGCTGTCAGCTGATTTCTCGTTTAATCCCAAGACGAGAAAGTATCCGCATTAGTCGCGCACATAAATCGTTGCGTGCCTGTATATTTCGATGTGAACGCGATTTAACCGATCCCAGCCGCGATTTCAAGAGATAATGATAGATCACCTGGAATCGTGCTGGTTCGCAGCGGCAGGAGAAGGCAGGCAAACGGAAAAGGCGCAGCAGCGGCGTGTGTGCGAGCCGGCGCGAGATAGCATTTCAGCGGCGATTTTTTTTGTTCCGCAAGTAACGCACCCGATCTCACGGCGGGGTTACGCTCTGGTTCGCATGGCCTTTCGCTTTCCACTTGGCGTTACAGTGGAAGCGGAGCCCACGCATTAATTGTCAATTACCTTGCCGCAAAACTGGGTTCGCATTCGCCATTTAATGCACACCGCAGCTGCAGAGCATCCGGAAAATAAAATCCTCTCTGCGCGCGTTACGCGTGTAAGAGTTACGTATTAATCTGCCTCTTGATTGCGGCCGCTGCAGCGGCCTGTTATGATCCAATTTTTAATAGTCAGAAGCTCTCTCAATTATCGACCATGACAATGCGCTCTTATCCGTGCGTGAAAAATCGGATTTCCTACACTCTGGAATTGAATTGTGTTCAAATGCGTAATGGAGATATTGTGATTACAAGCGTAATGAGAACGTAATGAGAACGGAAAAGCAGCGCGAGTTCTCCTAAACACCAGCGCTCGCATGCCGGAAAAATAAGTGTGTTATAACGGTTGGTTTCGCGAAGGCCAACCTCCGCATTATTTTTCTTGCGTAATTTTTCACTTATTTTTGTCCACGTGACATATTTATGTTATTTATAGCATTACGAGGTGGAAACAAAGTCGCATAAATATAAGACTTGTAAAAAATCTAGATAACCGCTACTTGTAAGCGAGCATGTATATATTTGCATATGTAAAATGTGCATCGGTCTCGACTTGTGTCGGAAAATTTATTTCAATTTTTTTCGTTGTCGAACAACATGATTACTTTGTAGGCCAGATAAGATGTTTAGATGAGATTTCACTTAACATTAACGTCCACAAGTTTGACGCCGCCGGAGATGGAGGCTTTTGCGAAACTCCCGCGCTTCCGGGCTGCTCTGCGGAAAAGATAAACGAACCGATGGTTAAGTATGATGACACGGGAAAAGATAAATTGAACGCGCGCGCGTAATGGCGGTGCCGGCGTTCCGCTGTTTTTACAAGACGCTGAAATCCGTCTAAAGCAATTGTATGCGACTGGTCTCGCGCTCCTCTCGCGCTCACCTTTTCCCGCGAAACTCGCGCGGTTGCGACACGCCGGGCCCGCCGCGTCTTGAAAACCGCGTTGCCCAAGAAGCTCGTACGTGGGCCAACCGTATCTCGCGCTGTAACAATGACGAGCAGCGTTCGATGTCTTACTTGAGATAATGGTCTACTCGCCGCGCATGGCGGCGCGCCGCGAGCACACATATCCCTCGTTTGTCAGTACAGATGGAAGATTAATGATTATAAGACGAAGTAATTAAACCCTCGCGCAGCGGCGTCGCCGTTCGTAAAAGCTGCAATCAGGATTTTAGAGCTGGCAATTAGGTCCAGAGCTCCCGGAGAGCGTTGAAATCACCGGCAATCTAAATTGGATCCCTTTTATATAACAGCGAACAAGACTTTTCACGTAAAAATAGGTAGAGAATTGCAAAGTTCTTCTCTCTACAGAGAAGAAAAAAGTAGTGACGGTGTTTTGTAGCGCAACAGTAATTTGAAACACAATAATGCAAGTTTCAAACTATGCAACTCGGATAATTTATCGATTTTCTGATTTTTCAATTCTAAGAGTTGCATAAAGTCCGCTTAAACACTTGCTACGAAATTCAAGATAACATTTTATTTCTAGTTTCATGTTCTGCGAAATACAGAAAAAATTTGAGAAATTCGACCGCACATACGCAAAATATATGGATATCAATAATATTTCTAACGTTGAACATTTTTTTACGTGCAATTATGACCTCTATTTCGAATTTTGCCGCGAATTGTAGATCACCGAGAGCCGATTTTAATTCATTAGCGATGTCGTAACGATGCTTGCGGAAGAAGAGAGAGGCGAGGGGAATTGACGACCGGCGAGCGCCTCGAGCGCGCGTGTAACATCGAATTACGATGTTACGCGGAGAATGCGTTAACGAGAAAATAACAGGCTACATCGAGGGACGCGATAAGGCTTCGTGAATTACCGGAGGAAATTTCAGGTAGTTCGCGTACAAGGAGCTCTCGTTTCCCTCTCGAACAGGATACTTTCACTGCGATGTGTGCGCCGCACGACAGGTCTCGTTGCGGCAAAACGGTACATAAACGAGCCTTAATGTTAGCACTACTTTGTTACCGGGAAGTTTGCTCGTTACAGAAAAGTGAAAGGGGAAGCAGCACATGCGTGCGTAAACATGTGTGCGAGATAACGAAAATGTCAAGCGGCGCGAATAATTTGATAATGCTGTGAACGATGAATCAATCGAGCAACACACTGACTGCGTGTGTTAAGTAATTGAGATATCGTTGTATTACGTGCGAAGAAAGTTGTTTCTTTCGACAGAATTCACGGTACAATTAATAATACACACATAGTCACTGCTGAAATTTAATATCAAATGATCGATGCTTCGAAATTTGATTTATTATTCTTTAGCGAAGAGCGATAAGCTTACACTCGCGTGAAAAAAGCCAGCTTCGCAGAATATGATAAAAAGTATTTTTAATTTATTTGGTTAATATGAAAAGTAAAAAACAATTTTTCTCGCTTTAAAAAAAATTTTTTATAAATTTAACCGATATAACTGTTCACTTTTAATTTTGAATATTTTTTTTATAACAATATTCTTCCAAAACTTTTATTGATAGTTACAATACTATTAGCGTTTTATGAAAAATGTTTATTTTTGTTACTAATCGAAAAACTGATTTTTTACTCAACGTTGATTTCATTTTTTTTTACAATATTCTGACATATATATGTAAAATTCTAAATAAAAAAACTATAAAAGTGAGAAAATCCATCCATTCTCTAAAGATCGATCTTCTCTCTTATGTGTTTTCGGAAAAATTCCCTAAAGTTTGACAATGGATTCGGTTTGGACGTGTATATGTTATATTCATACGACTTGATTTACTGTATAAATCAACATGTATTTGTATCCGAGTTCATTTGTATCAACATGTAGTTGTATCTGATAGTTTAACTTGTAGTTAGAGTGAGTTATACATGGAACGCGCCAATGTTGCAGTTTAGGAGAACAGCTTGATCAAATAGACTTGCTTTCTACAGACACATGAGATCGATAATGCCGCCGTAGTTATGTATAATATATGCAAATGAGATTATTACATGGCGTGTCGCTTTCCTACTTAACACAGATTACCAAATGTCCTAACTTGTCTAATAGCAACGAAGTCGTATATGCAGGCGCCAAGAAAATCATTACCTTGCGATAGAAATAATTTATGTCTCTGAAATTGCAGCATTATTTGTTTTTACAAAATTAGCAAGTCTCGTGCATTTCAAGATTAAGACTATATTTTATGAAATATATGAATAATTAATATTGATTAAAAGCTAATAATGTATATTGAAATTAATTACATTTATTATGAAATTTGACGACGAGAGAGAGAGAGAGAGAGAGAGTAATTGTACACTCAAAAAAATGATCTTGCAATAATAGCTAAAATTTTCTAGGTGGAAAAATTAACTAAAACAGATAAATGATTAGCAACTGTTGTAATATTGCATATGTAATTACTTAATCAGTTTAGATGACAGAAACAGAATATATATCTGTATTGTTTGTGAACTTTAAAAAGAAAGTTTTTCTAAAGCACCTATCTATATAAGATCAATCACGTGTTAGATAATGCAATGAATAACATTTAGCAATAGTACCTAAATTTTTCAGAAGCTATTGCTAGAACATTACTGCTATAAATTCTATATGTGACAAACAATGTTTTCACAGATACGAAAAATAGCGATACATTCTTGTTGCGATATCTAGAAATCTAACTACATCAGCGAAATATTTTTTTTAGTGTAATAATAAATTGAGTAACAAAATGGAGAAAGATAGGAGAACACGTGACGGACGTCATGCGGCAAATCTCGATCTTACGAAGGAAGATCTCATGTCCGTTCGCGATCTGATAATGAGCAGCGAACACAGGATACTTCTAATTATGCGTACGCATTGTCTTAATTAACCTCTCGCGTGCGCCTTGTCTGCCGTTATCGAATATCATTCGACAGATGCAACTCGTTTGCGCTATTGCGAACGCGTGAGATCCGAGCCGCGCTGAGTGATTTAAATCCTCGCGTCGTCCCACGAATAGATATATCTTCATCGCGCTTTAATAACACGCCGAAATCACGGAAATATACGTTGCATGCAACGAATCCTGAGAAGATTGCAAAATGAAACTAGCGCAATTCGAAAACACAGTCGATGCTCGATCGAAATGCGATGCACCGTCGGAAGTGCATGTTGCAAATCCTAATTTTCAAGTCGAAACTTTATTTCGCCGATGGATTATAACAATTAATCGCGAACAATAGTGATGTTAAACAGCTATTACGCGGACAATATACCGAATAGTGTAATGAAATTAATTTAATGCCGCGTGACGTCATTGTGTATTATTCAAAATGCGTAATGCGGATGTGTCGTCGGGAAAACAGTCGGACGAATGTATTTGATGTAATTACGTTCGGTCAGCATGATTAATTACCTGCATTGTGATCGCTACGCGCATTGGCTTTATTATTCAACAACTGTATACGCGGTAGCATGAAAACGTGCAATAATACGGATGTGTTTATGATGGGCCAATATTTACTCAAAACAATTGCTACGAACAACCACTATTTTAAACCGCAGAGATGTGTTTGATATTTTATATATTGAGGAAATAGCAAAATTTGAACGGACTTATAATTCTCACGAATAATTTTACAGAAAGCACACATTATTGGTACGGTTTGCAGTTTGAACATGAGAATTCGTTTAATAATCGACACAGTAAATAATTTTCAGCTACGAATTGCGGGAGATGTAAGAGAGAACTTGATATTCGTGTCAAGAGGATATTTCAAAACTCGAGAATTTTTTTTAATGACAAATTTTCCGACTTAATTAAGGTGAAATTTTTTCAACAAAAATCTTTAGGAAAATTATAATTTATTGTGTTTTTTTTTCAATTTTTAATATCATACATATATTTGTAACTGTTAAAAAGCTTTGAATAATTAAAATTTTATCAAAGCTTAATTAAATTAATTGGCGATTATGTTGTTTCTGTCATTTATTTCATTCACTGAAGCTTAATTCGCGAAAAAATAGTTTTTTTATTGCTTAAAACTCAAAAATCAGGACCTGTTTACTAAAACAAATTAAATGCAAAATTGGTCAAAGAATTTATTATTCAGGGATCGTTTGTAAATTTTGCAAATCTATATATCATTCAAATGTTTAATCCTTTCGATATGACGTCGACAAGTTATTGAAGTCGCCAGAAATGTTTGAGGAAAAGTTGAGCAAAACTTTATACTATTAAATTTCTCGAAATTAGCATACGAATGGACAGCTGTTCGGGCAAATGGCTCGAATACTAAATACATTGTTTTTGACTAGCTTTCTCGCGCTAACACTAATAGGATCTGGCGTGAGACGTGTCTGATAGAGACGTAAAGCGCCAACGGGGTCGACAAGTGCCGTGACGCGAGTAAAAGTAATGGCGATATGTGCCGACGAAATACCTCGCGGATATACTTTCGATGTCGTGACGCATCGAGAGTAGTCGGTGTGTAACGACGAAATCATCAAGAGCAAGCGGCCGGACGAGGAGGGGGGGGGGAGGGGGGGAAGGAGGATGAGGAGGGGGGGGGAGGAGGAGGGAAGGACGGCAATCTGGGGCTCGGCGCTTTCTTTACATACCGGAGTGAAAGATTTCGTTCGAAACGTCCAGCCATATCTTCGTAGAAATTTAATGATCGCGTTCGAACGCGATTAATTGCATCGAGCCGCGGCACTGCTCGAGACGAAGTCTAGCGTATCGTACGGGACGGAGTGAAACGTCACGTTCGACTCGGTAGAAAACGAGAAGGACGAAACCTCGCCTGTGCGAGCCTTGAAGGAGTGGGGGCGGTTTACTGTGAAAGAGAAAAAGAGAGAGAGCTATAATGAACTGGGACGTCTTTCTCATGTCTGTTTTTGTTTTTAATATCCCCACCAGACATAAATAAGTGACAAATGTGGAAGGAGGATAGCTGTACCCCCCCCCCTTTCCTCT